AAAAAAAAAAAAAAAAAAAAGTTATCATCTTTCAAGTTCCCTCTCGATTATTTTGAAGAAACAATCAAAGACTTCTTGAGTTGAAAGTCCTATTTATTCCACCTTTTGAGTATTTTAGACAAGCTACCTCTCTGTAAAGTCAGAGTACTGGCAAATAATAAATGTAGAGGCTGGAGAGGTGGTTCAACAGTTGAGAACACTTGTTGCTCTTGCAGGGGACCTGGGTTAAGTTCCCAGCACCCACATGATGATGCACAATCATCTGATCCAAGGGATCCAATGCCCTCTTTTGACCTCTATGGCACCAGGCACACACAGGGCGCATGTACATATATGCAGGCAAAATGCTTATAGATGTAAAGTGACATAAATCTTAAAAAACAGTAAATGTGTATTTAGTATTTGCTGCTGGCCAGCCACTGGGGTAAGTGCTCAGTGAACACTGTGTTAAAAAGTCCGTGCAAGCCGGACGGTGGTGGCGCACGCCTTTAATCCCAGCACTCGGGAGGCAGAGGCAGGCGGATCTCTGTGAGTTCGAGGCCAGCCTGGGCTACCAAGTGAGTTCCAGGAAAGGCGCAAAGCTACACAGAGAAACCCTGTCTCGAAAAACCAAAAAAAAAAAAAAAAAAAGTCCGTGCAAAAAAACTAAGGTTCACCTCAAAAGGAGTGAGAAGTGGCTTATTCTGAGCTATAGGAATGCCTGTGCCTGGGAAGCAGATTCAGCTTGCTCAGAATAGCATGGTCTACGACAGAAGCTAAGCATATGAGAGTTCATTAATTCTAGAAGAAAGAAAGTCATAAATCAAGGCACTTACCAAACACCTGGGACCACAGGTTAGAGGGCTGCAGGAAAGTGGGGGAGACTGGGTTAAAGGTTTCAGATGCCAGCTGGGTTTGGTGGAAGCCGGTAGTCAGCTAAGGATGCATTTTAAAGGCTTTGTGTGGTTGTCTGTTAGGTTAGAAACTGGTCAGAAATGCGTAGCTTCAAAACAAAACCAAAAGCAGCCCAGGCTGAACTGGTTATGGCTCTGTAGCATTCTTCTTTTGTTATTATTATTTTTTTCAGGACACGGTTTCTTTTTTTTTTTTTTAATGATTTATTTTTATTTTGTGTGCATTGGTATTTTGCACACATGTATATCTGTGAGAGGGTGTCAGGTCTCCAGAACTGGAGTTACAGACAGTTGTAAGCTGCCATGTGGGTGCTGGGAATTGAACCCGGGTCCTCTGGAAGAACAGCCAGCACTCTTAGCTGCTGAGCCACCTCTCCAGCCTCCAGGACAGGGTTTCTTTGTGTAGCCCTGACTGTCCTGGATCTCGCTCTGTAGACCAGGCTGGCCTCGAACTCAGACATCCACCTGCCTCTGCCTCCTGAATGTAGGCATTAAAGGCGTGCCCACCACTTGGCATTGTTCTGGCTCTGTAACATTCTTACTCTCCCTGATCAGGAGGTTCTCAGCAGTCAAGAGAACTGATGAGAATCAAGATAGGTAGGTCTCTGGGGTGGGGGCTTTAGTTTCTAAATCCTCACAACAGCGCTGGGAGATAAACACCGTTTTGTTCTCTGCTTTACAAAAGAGGATGTAAGCATCGCCTCAGACACTGATCTTGTGAGAATTACACAGTGCATGTAGACCACTTGGCAGGAAGCCATGCACATGAAGCAATATTTTTTAATAAGTTATTTATTTGTTTAGTTTTATTTATTTATTTATTTATTTATTTATTTATTTATTTATTTATATGCTTTGCTGTTTTGCTTACATGTAGGTCTGTGTGAGGGTGCCAGATCTCCTGGATCCGGAGTTATAGACAGCTGTGAGCTGCCATGTGGGTGCTGGGAATTGAACCCCTGTCCTTTGGAAGAGTAGCCAGTGCTCTTAACCCCTGAGCCATCTCTCCAGCCCCAATAACTTATTTATTTGCATTGATGCATCTGTGTAAGGGAGTTGGACCCCCTGGAACTGGAATTACAGACAGTTGTGAGCTGCCATGTGGGTGCTGGGAATTGAACCCAGGTCCTTTGGAAGAGCTTAACCGCTGAGCCATCTCTTGAGCCCCATGAAGCAATATTTTTTAGATCACCACCTCTCCCTTGGAGGCAAAAATCAAGACATCTTTCAAATCCTCTGGTGGAAACATCTGGTAGGTGGTTACAGCAAAGCAGGGAGATCTCTGTGGCGGGTCTCTGATGGCAACATTCTTAGGTTTGGGGTCAGGGAAAGCTAGGGATCTGTTCATACATTTCAAAAGGATTTACATATCCACCAGTAGGGTGGCCGGTGATATACAGGTGGGCGATAAATGGCTACTTAAAGGACTAAGACTGCCCAGGATAATCTGACTCTGGACCTACAACATTCCAACTCTCCATAGTCATTGAAATTCTGAGCAGTCAATCCATCCTTGTAGAATATGTTAAGGGAGGTGTGGCTTTTTCTGTGGACTTCAGTTCACACTGAAACGGCATGGATTAGACCCTATATATACTGTTTGTTGGTTTGTTTTTCCTGAGCATGCATACCAACATAAAGTTTCACTTGCAAATTAGACACAGTAGGGGATTAAAAGTGTTTAATATTGGTTGGGCACTCCCTTAATCCCAGCACTCTAGAGGCAGGGGCAGGTGAATCTCTAGGAGTTCAAGGCCAGCCTGGTCTATATGGCAAATTCCAAGGCATGGTCTACATAGTAAGACCTTGGTTTTTTGTTGTTTTTTATTGGTTTGTTTGTTTGCCCCTGCCACCCCAGACAGGGTCTCTCTGTGTAGTCCTGGCTGTCCTAGAACTCTGTAGATCAGACTGGCCTTTGCCTCCCTCCCCAGTGCTGGGATCTAGGGTATGCACACACCCCCACCCCACCCCCCATTCCCCACCCCGGATCTCAGAACAAGAAGCCTCCAGCTTAAGTGTTTAGAGCCTTACTTGCTTTAGAAGTGTTCTTTTGCTTCTAAAGTCTGGAGCGACAGGCTCCTTGCTTCCAGAACTTCCAGCTGTAAGGCCCTGGGCTTCTGGTCCACCCCCTCAGTCTTGGGCACACTCAGACCAAGACCAAGACTGCCAGCTCTGGAAAAATGTCCCCTCACCTCTAATAGCTAGAGTAAAAGGACCCGGCCAGCATCACATAGGACCTTCCAGAGCATAGCGCCAGAGGGGAGGTGGGAGGCTGGCAGGTACCACAGAGGGGGTTTCACAGAGCCTTCTTTCATTTTATTTATATATTTATTTTTTTTTTCGAGCCAGGGTTTCTCTGTGTAGTTTTGGTGCCTGTCCTGGATCTCACTCTGTAGCCCAGGCTGGCCTCGAACTCACGGAGATCCACCCGGCTCTGCCTCCTGAGTGCTGGGACTAAAGGTGTGTGCCACCACCGCCCAGCCCTTCTTTCATTTTAAAAGTTAAAATTTATAGTGAAAAACTTTGAAACGAGGCTCTCTCACCTCCTGCTCTTTTAGTGAAGGGTAATGAAGACGGCTTTTTTTTGTTTGTTTGTTTGTTTTGTTTTTTGTTTTTTGTTTTTCGAGACAGAGTTTCTCTGTGTAGCTTTGCGCCTTTCCTGGAACTCACTTGGTAGCCCAGGCTGGCCTCGAACTCACAGAGATCCGCCTGCCTC